TTTCATTTACGCGAATGTATTATATAGTCGTATATGAATTGCATCGCGCCGCAGCTGAGAGACGAGGTTGAACTCGCGCGCATTGTTAGAGGAGGCGCGAACGACGACGTGGCGCGCACTTGCACCTATACGTAACGGGGAAAGAGCCTCGTAAAGATCGATCCTGCTCTCTGCGACGAATTATTTCGCATCCGTCTGACGTTTCGTTTGCCGCCTTCGTTGTGCCGATCGAATCCAAGCGACAGGAGCGCACTCGTTATTACCGAATGAAATTGCGAGTCAACTTAACGGCGACTGGCCGCATCATTTTTTGTCCGTCGCCGAAATTCGTCGAGTACGAGTTGCGACCAGGGAGAAATTACCTCTTGCCTTGCCCGCATGTATTACATAGTTAGGCGAGGGGCTTGCGAGTAATCGGCACGTGCGCAAAAACGAGGAGGACCCGATCGATACAAAAAATGTCGCAATGTGGACAAACGTATACTTGTAAGCCTGGCTGGCCGTGTACCATACATATATTTACGTAGCCACACAAGATACAAGATGATAGGACGGAAATATATGCTCGCAGCAGCATCGCCGACTAACTGTCCAACTTGAGAATAATATATTCGGGCTCTGTAAGTAGGTGTTTTACCGTTCGACTCTTACATAATAATTAATTCTTTCCTCTTCTGCTGCTGCTGCTGCTGCTGCTGCTGAAAAATCGCACAAGGCCGGAAAGTGTTTGCGATGAGGCGCGATCGGACAATAGATATTTTGTACATTATACGCGCAATTACACCACTCGTCGCGGGCAATGAAGTTGCACAAATAAATAATAATGCGAACAATTTTTTTTCATAATCATCGATGAGAATGTAGTAAAAATCGTATGCTCAACGACGACTTGCGCAAAAAGAGATGGCGCGTACATTTTCCAACGCTCCTTTGTACCGAGTCGCGAAAACCATTGTAAAACGGTAGATTATAATTATATAATGAAATATCTCGTGTGTCTCTCGGGGAGCCTCTCGAGCGACAAATTTCCATTGAGACAGCTGCGCGCACTCGGTTTCACTAACATTTGAAGGAATTTGCTTAACGGAATTTTTGCCAACGAGTTAGCTGACACATTATGAAATTTACTGTTTGATCTGGAGAGCGGATCTTATATAGTTCAGTAGTCGCGCTCGAAACTGTACCTCACGCACATATATTGAGTAGTAGAATCGAAGCCAGTCGTCTGTGTTGATTAAAATAACACTCCTGTATGGGTACGCGTGGAGTAGCGATGGATAAAATTTCTCAATATTTCATCGAAAATCCCCAAGTCGAAGGAAAAAAGTTCCCTCGAGTTGGAGTTGCACACGCATACATATGCACATGATTTCGTACGGTATGCAGCTCGCAAAAGAGAGGCCCGATAAACCAGTTTTCTTTTTCGCAGTCGCCCAAGTCTGCGTCGACGCGCACAAACACGCAGTGCACTCGCGAACGCCTATACAGATATAAAATTACACTCTCGAATCGACCCTGTTTTCATGGTTGCTGCTGCTGCTGTTACAACGATCCCATATGTGTACGCGCTCATATATAAGATATATATCAGCCGAGCTAGCGAAAGTGATATTATATGTGAATAATAAAAAGATACTTTCTCGCTCGCACGCGTTTGCAGTCTACAGTCTGCAGGCGGCAGGGACACTGTGAGATCGGTAGCAGGTGTTTCGGGACTCTGCCAGATACCCAAGTCTCTTTTTCTGGCCATTTTTAACTTAATACTGCCTGGCAATGGCTTTCGATGCAACCTACTACTAAAAAAATACTCGGCTATCCTTACACGTTCGATTATGTCACGCGTTTCCTTGCCAATGCCATGTATGTGCATACAACTTGAGCAGTCAAGGCTTGGACCATGTATAAGACTGATGAGTCGTTTTAGTTTTGAGTCGCCCAAGTCCAACGCCAAAGATCCAACTTCAAAAGACCTGATTTATATTTTGAAAAAATTTTAATTTCGAATTATTTTTTCAAGTTGGTTTTTTTGGCGCTCGGAATGCCTACTATAACGTATCAGCTTGTTTGATTCAAGCTCGATTTTTTTACAAGCACAGACATCGCCAGGAATTTATTACTAAACAGCAGCCTTTTAAATCGCGAATCGTGAGTTTTCCTCTCAACATTTTTTTTGTCGTCATTCGAGTGCTCTGTATGCAAAGCTCGCGATATGTTTATAAATCAATCAGCAAAGATGACATATTCGATTACTCGCAAGTACCGCAATTAATCGGTGCGTCGGTCCGTAAAGCAATTACGATCATTTATGATACACATGCAAAGAAAGTACACTTACCGCGTAAACGAAAGTGAAAATGTACTCTCGTTTCGCGTGGTTTTATAAACGCACTACGCGCGTAATCGAGTAGTCTATGTGTAACTATGAAAATATTTTTTTGTACTCGTTACCGAGCTGCTTCCAGTGATACTCGGCTAAATGTTTTCTGTAAACAGCCACATTAATCTCGGCCTGACTCGGTCTTTTTTATCGCTCGAATTGAAAAAGCATAGCGTGAGCGGACGCCTATGCCGCAACCGCCTCCTCTCTTCTTTCCCTTCTTTTTTTCTTATTATCAATGTCATTCGAGCTTGTACTTTTTGAGGTGGATTTTTTTACATCGCCAATTGCTATGCAAGAAAGTACAAAGACGAGTGAAAGGTCGATTGGCTAGTTATTAGCGAGCTCGCGAGGCCGCTTTTGATGTCTTAATTAGCAGCAGGCGTGAAAACGACCAAATAATAATCAACTCGTTGCGAATCTCTTTTTCGAAAGCCATTGTTTCGAGTGCAAACTGGCCAATATTAACTAGTTGACAAACGCAAACATGCAAATCAAAAAGTTTAGCTCTATTATCTTACAGCTGCGTCAGGTCGTTGGGACATTTAGAACTAACACTCAATAATATATGTGTGCAATTATCAGTTTTATTGGAAAATCCATGATTTATTACATCTTGTACATCTCTAAGCTTGTATTTATAGATTTACTCGAACGTTGTAATATGCATTATTTAGTTTGAAATACATTCAACTATTTGAAAGTTTGCGAAAATTGCCACGGGCAGTAAATTCCTTGATTTAATTCACGAACATTTATAAATACAGCACGTGTCACAATAATCACCTCTACAATTTATCACCAACGGTGTGAGTGTTCATATTTTTTTCTATATAAGATCGAATTTAACTTGATTAACATAGGGTCCTTGGTCCCATACTGTATACATCTCAATAATATTTGTACAAAAATTGAACTTTTACATTTTTCTTTACATCTTTGTGCTTTTATTACTTTACTGATATGTCGTAATTTGTCTTTGTTTCTACTAAACAAAAGTGTAAAGGGATGGAAATAGGATTAATAAGCAAGTGTAATAAAATAAATCAATGTTTCACTTTTGTAGGAAAAAAAGAAAAATTTATTTATTGTTCATTTAAAATAAAAACATCTTCGAGAGAAATTCAAGTTTAAAATGTCTTGAAGACAAGTTATCATGATATAACATAATCAACACATGTTCATGTGCTGAATAGTACGAGAGACGAAATCTGTGACGATGGAATGTTTCGATTGTTAAAAAAAAATATATATGATACTTAAAGACTAAACTATGCGAACTAATATTTTTAAGGCGGCGACTATACGATATTAGAGAATAGAAAATCTTTATCTTTCGTTTTATAAATAGTACGAATGTAGGAAGGCAGTTGATGCCAATTACGTGGTCAAAAACTGTTACTCGATTATCCGTTCATTTTTTTTCTCGATAAAAGAATTTCGTATATGGCACTTAAGATACTACATTTTCACTTGAGGCAATCGCTTCAAAATTTGGCGAAAAAGAAAATCCACTTGCCTTCTTACCATATCTTTTTTTAATGTGCGAGTATTTTAGCCACCAAATTATGTTTTTTTTTTATGATTATTTATCTAGAAAATGACTAGATAATAATGATTAAATCATACGAATGAAAAATTGAGACAAGGTCAATAAAATTTCTAAAATAAAAATAGTTAAAAGCGTGATGTTTATAATATCGTGTTTCATGTATATGATACGCACAGGAACAATAAAAAATAAAATGAGCAATAACACATGTTTGAAGTTTTAAAAAAATTCGAGCATCGTACACTCATACATACGTATCATTTAAGTACAATATAATAAATTTATAACCTGTGTAAGTCTCGTCAAAAATATACAAAATTTAATAATCTTATAATTAAGTTGTTTTTTCTCATTCGTCCACACAATAAAAAACCCAGTATATCTCATCATCGTCAGTGATGCTTGAGCATGATTTCTTTATCATAGGCAAAATACCACACATGTCTTTTCATCACATTTCGCAAGTTCACAGCACTCGCCATCGTTTTATAATATAATTAATAGTAAAAAAAATGTCACACAGACGTTGCTCGTAACATGCACGAGATAAAAACGAATCGACTTAGGCTTGCGGCATATGAGATACTCCAAACATTTAAGCACTGAAATGGCTTTCAACTCGTATTAAATAAGAGTTCGATTATAATGGACTTAAGAGCTTGGAACAAGGGCCATTTTCTGTAAATCTTGCCGAGAATATTTTTTTTTCTATTTCATTTTTAACGTCAGTCATGAAACAAAGGCGAAGGAGATCAGGGTCTAATACTTCGATCATTGCGTCTGTGATTAGCAATGATGTCGCGTCCGTCATTAATTAACCATCATTATTTACCATAATCTCTCTTTGCTGCAGCGCCTCGTTTTTTCCTTTCCACAAGTCGATTTCAATGAATTAGCCGTCGCTGCTTATGCCGCAACAATACACGATGCATTTTCTTTTTTTTTGTGCCCTGTTACACAGAGCGAGACTCGGTTCAAGTGCGTTCTTTATCTTACGCACATACATAATATATATTTACAAAACGTATCGTAAGTATTCTTTTAATTTTCGTGTGTAAAGCCGTTACCAACAATAACAACGAAATCATTAGTCGAGCTATTTTACATCAAAAGTACCAAATTATAATACATAGAAAAGTAAAAATAAGAGGGGAGATAACTATCTACACCGATAACATCAAACTCGAACGGAGTCTCGCTTTCAATTGATTTAAAAACTTACAATTTATAATACGAATTGCACCAGGCTGGAAATTCCGATCACTATAGTTATTGCCGCTGACTACTCGCGGCATCTTCATAAGTGTCATCATGTGTCCCGCCTTAACTCGCTGAATTCTTAAAGTTACATATTCAGACGCACATACTCACGCACACGCAGACTCACAGATAAATATAAACCGAGAATATCTCGATTTTTAAACATTACATGCTTATATATAATATGTATATGAATCCACCGCGTTGCGCAAAAAAGTGGAACGGTCGGCGAATATTTTTAAAAGATAATAGTTCTCGCGATTCGCGCGATCCTCGTTAAAAGAGGATCAAGACGCGATCGGGGGTCAGGTAAAATCACTACTTGCACTTGGTCTTGCCGTCGAGTAACTTCTTCCAGAGGTCGAACTGCTCGCCGTATTTGACCATGTGTATGCTGATGCCTCGTTGCACGTTGCACGGGCTGTAGGAAATCTTGCGATTGAGAAATTCGTTGGCGTGCACTCGTCGCACTCCGAGTTTGCTGGCCACTATGCCCGTCACGAAGACGTCCTCGAGCTTGAGGAAAGTCTCGTTGAGCGCACCCTCGTAGAGCTTGTTGATGACGTCGTTGGACATGAGATAGGCCGGACCCGTGCAAAAGTCCGGATAGAAGGGGCTGCGGTACTTTTGCGGCGACACGTAGTACTTGCTGGACTTGTTGCGCACAGGCTTCCATTTCTTGGCCACCTTGCCGAAAATGACGTTCCTGTCGCGCCTGTGCTTGCCAATGAAGGACATGAGGCGCGGCACGTTGATGAACATGTCGTCGTCGGTCTTGAGGATGTACCTCACCTCCGAGCAGTAGTTGTCCACCCACTCGAGCATCGAGATGGTCTTGAGAGTGAGGTTGTTGTAGGAGTCGAAGAAGCGACCGCGAATTATGTCGCCGTACATGTCTTGCTCCTTGTCCAGATGGGCCTCGAATTTGGCGTCGCTCGTTGCGCCGAGCAAAAAGACAATGCCGATGTCTCGTCGCGCGGCGAAGTGCGCCCAGGTCTGCCTAATGGCCGTCCTCGCCTCGAAGTGCGTCGGCGCCGACATGATGATGATCATGAGCTCCATGAATTTGCCGAAATCGGGGCATCTGTCGGGCACCGAGACGGTGTGTCCGCTCGGGTAGGAGAGTCGCGCGGCGTCTTTCTTCACGGCTGGCGTAGTTGGCACCGGCGGCTCCGGAGTCGTCGTGGTCGTCGTTGTGGTCGACGTCGTGCTGGTCGTTGACGTCGTCGTGCTCGAGCTCACCATACCCGTTTGCGTATTGTTGCTGGGCAGTAGCCGCACCATCGATCCCACGGAAGACGAGGACGACTGCGACGACGACATGGATATGACCGTGATGACCGACGTGACGTTGTTCGGAACGAATATCGTCGAGGAGCTGTCGGTGACATTGGCCGGGCTACGGACGGCCAGCATGGGCGTAGACGGGATCTCCGGACTGCTGCTGTTGCCACCGTTCAAGTGACTCGCGTGCGGTTGCTGCACCGGCGGAGACGCCAACTCGTTGTAGTACGGCGTTCGATCTGCAAATAAAGAAACAAAAAACGAAACAGTAGAGATGAGTTGTCGTTTGCTTGGCTAAATATATATGCGCTATGTGCTTTGCGTAAGATGAAATCTCTGAATATATATTGCCACTTTTGGAGGGACTGTCGAGGTATAAGCACTTGCAAAATTGCGCGAATTAAATTCTCATTCATCCTACGCAGCTTCTGCCTATTTGGTGCTTTCGGTTTCGCAATAAGGATCTCGTTAAAAAACTTTTTCAATCAAAAACTTTTATTTTCGCGCGTAACGCGCTGCACGACGATTGCCATTAATTGCGCGTTTCCAACTTTATTTGAAAAATCGAGGCTTTGTCTCTGATCCCGAGCGCGCTATAAACATTCATTTTTTTACTCGGCACTTTTTTTATGACAATTATGATTGTGTCGGCATTGAAAGAGAAGGGAAAAAAGCGCGCGCACTGCGACGCATCAATCATACGTCAGTCGGTCCGTACAACTCGAACGATTTTCCCGCGCAACTGCCGGTAGTCCGAAAATTGGATAATAAGCCCAAGAGATTCCGCAAAAAATCGAAAGCTTACACAAAAGCCATCATTTTATGTACACACGCGTGCGTGCCGCTTCACAAAGAACAATCATCATTCTGTGTGCCTATTGAGTAACGACAATGAAATAATCATGAATAGAGAGAATCACGCGCAAAAACAAAATCGCGACGCATGCAAGTACATCATCGTTCGATGATTAACGATCGGTTTGGCACGTTTTTGTCTCTGTCTCTGGCTGCTTTTGGTACATCGCTTGCTTTCACTGCGCCTCTCTTTACTCGTGCTCGAGGTGAGGCGAACTTTATATACTTACGCAACGATACAATGAGCGAAAAAAGAACGTTTTCACCGTTCCACGTTTTTGATATCTTCGCGAGTGAAACCCTATCGTCTCCGTCCTTGTATGCCACACATGGCATGTGTGTTTCATGTGTCTTTTTGAGCGTTGCGCTTTCTTGCTGCTCGCGAGTCGCTGGTATTTCTTTGAGCGTGAAACGATGCATGTACACCACACACACAAACACGTGCCGCTTAGAGAGTTTATTGGGCCTTCGAAATTAATACATTAACTGTACAAAGTTCTCGATGGACGTTTTTTTCCTTTCGATATAATGTAGGTAGGCAAAACGCCATGACTCGACTCTATCGATTACGGATCAAGTGATTTGTTCCTCTACATCCGAGTTCATAAGTGCCTGAGTGTTTGAGAAGATCTTGTCAAGTCTACTACAACAATTACTGAAACAAGTAGCATAGGCAGAGACAAGCTCGAGAAGCGGTTATTAATTGATTTCCATTCATAATTACGTCAGTCGTGTAGGATTATATAAAATTTAGCGATCGCCATTTGTCACGCAGCGAATACTTATTATAACGGCGTTAACTGTTTGTGAAAAATCAATCGACGCTGTGACAGAGAGCCTAAAGACGCATTGATAGACTAGCCGCTCCATGTGCTTGAGCGACTGTGCGTGTGTGTGTGTGTGTGTGTGCTTAGTGTGCGTGCCAGAACAAAGCATCGCGTGCTGCTGCCGCTGCAATTCACCTGCGTGCTCCGAACTTTCTAATGTCTTAGGGAACAATTTGCATAATATATCCGGTGCGTTGCCAAGGAATCGATGTTAAAAATGTTAAAGAAAAAAGAATTATACCAATGATAAAGCGGACGCGACTGCGTGAAATCGGCCTTGTCGACGAATTACGTTATACGTCAAATATATACCGGAATTCTCGTAATTTTTACGGTAAAAAGTATTTGCACGTCCTTGGAAGTTCGAATGACCTTAGGTTAGTCGATGGTTTCATAAAAAATATGTATATTCCGAATGTTTAACTAAACTAGGTAGCGCTGTGTAACACAGGAGATGAAATTGCCTTTTGATTTTCATCTCTGCCGCTCTGAGGATCGATCGGCGGCGGCGACGCTATACTTGTGTACGTGCAATAACATCCCGGACGAGCTCCGAAGCATAATAATAGAGCGCGCTGAGCCGAGGATTATGCATTTGCATTTTCAGCTTCGACATTTTCTCGCAAGCGATATAGTTTTTTTTTGCTTCATCTGTGCAATAAGTGCTCGCGCCAGCGTAAGAATGAGAAAAATAAAACGTAACAGAAAACTAATCAGTGATTTATCGGCGCAACAAAACAATACAAATAGGCAATTGTACGTATTTCTTTTGGTTTGATTTATCGAAAATTTTACGACGCGCTCTCAAGAAAAGTTGGATGAACGAGATCCATGCGGCGAGCTTGTGATGGCCGCACAGGTGTAATGATTTAATGACGGTGTAATATCGATACTATTAAAGCAAGGTAGTACAAATACACAAACGATATATAGATGCGAGCGCTCGGATCATTATCGTTATAAAAGCATTAGAAGATTGTGCAGCGCCGAGACTCGCATGGGACGTTTTCCAGACTATTAAAAAGCGTAGCAAAAGAGTGGGAGGGTGAGTAAAAAAATGATAAGATTCGCGAATGACTGGACATTATTTCTTATGGTCTCTTGGTGCGTTGTTAGCTGTGCGTTGTGCGGCACATGAAGTTTCGAGGAAATGCGAATACATGTTGGGAAGCAGTAACGATAGATTTTTTTCTTCTGCGATAAGAGAAAAACGGACGGTCGTCGTAGCGCGCAGAAACGTCTATCTCACGCGACGTTACGATAATCGGAAACGAAAGGCCCATCGTTTGTTTACTAGGAACGAGTGATTCGAGATGCTTCGGCATACTTTATTGTGAATTCGAATCGAGAACAAAAAATGTTACAGGATTACACACATACACAGACATGCGCGCGCACACATACACAGAAACACGTGTGCACGAGCGAACGCATTCGTTTTGGGATATGGGAAGCGAAAGTTTTGATATCTGCTCTCAAATTTTCATTAGTTCCGTAATGTACGTCAACACATATAAATATAAGCGATAAGCGAGCGATATCCAGCATGTCATCCCATCGTAGCAGATATATCATTTAAGAGTTGAGTTCTTTTTGAAAAGATTATTTAGAAACTCATTATCTGTGTATGTGTAAAGTGGAGCGTCGATGCACTTGCTTTATCGAGAGAGGCACCGTAAGACATAATTTCTCATAGAAAAATCTCTGTCGAGTGTAAAGTGTGTGTGGCCGCGTGGGCGGAGCAGATCCGATCGTTACAGTTTCCATTTGGTATGCGCATAGTGGCACACTTTTCGAAATCTACCAGAAGGTTGAACGTTTTATACAGCATTGAAAAAATGAGAGGAGAGAAAAAAAGAAGGAAACGATTCGTTAAATCGAACAGGCCGCAACGTTGCCACGGCAACGGCATAGTCCGAGAGCATCGCGCAGTGTCGCAAAAATAGCGCCTACATAATAGTTTTGTTGAGCAAAATTTCAAAAACGAGATCAATCTAGTTTTGGCCGGTCTATGCACGTGCGACGTTTACAGCAGCGCCCGCAAAAAGCGTATGAAATACGAGCAAAATGCAGGCGGCGCAGCGGATACGCAGGGAAAAAATGTTGGAAAAAAGTGCGTATAAACAACGAAAGCTCACTTGCTGGACTTTAACTCTGCTCGAAGCCAAATGACACTCGAGTTTGTGTGTAATAAGCACTTGGAGCGTGCTTTGTATGTATACTAGTGACTATACTGACTCATGTGCGTACATATGACTGTATTCGTGTATGTGTGAAATGAATCAATGTAACGTCAAAAAAAAAGTAAGCAAAAAATCCACGTGATTGCGAGAAAGAAGGAGAATTAGACAGAGACAAATTTCTTCTTCGATGTGGCCCACATGCATATGATATATACGCGTGTGAATCGAACGGCTTTCTCGCGCAATTTAAAAAGGAGGTTAGAAAGCCCTCGGAAAGTAAAGCCGAGGCGAGACACGTCGTTTTTCCGTCCCGCGTTCTGCACGCACACATGCACGCTACCATATAGGATACATTACACACAATATATATAGAGCTATGCAGGGACGCGTTTCCGAGGCTGGCGATAAGCGACTATGTAAAGCTATATTACTAGCTTCTCCGGTCAACGATTTATCAATAAGCGTACTCGGACACAACGTGCACCCATGCGACTTTCACCGTATCCTACGTGTTACGTTAGCGGAATCGTCGCCGAGCAATTGAGTATTTTTTAGAACACACGCATGCATGCGCGCTTCTAGCCATGCATATAGCCGCACCACCTATATCAACAGCTTCGTCCCAGAGAACCCGCCAGAAGTGACAACGATTGCAGAAAGAATGAGAGAACGCGAGGGAGTATAACTAAAGTAATGCTGCAAGTTACGAGACTTACTGTTGTCGGGCACGGTTCGGATGTAACCGAACTCTCGTTGCATTTCGCCGGCGGTGGTCCGATAATACGTGTAGAAGGTCAAGCCGACGAGGCAAAGCACCAGGCTCTGCACGACGCGGCTGCGCAGGCTCAGGATGCCCATTTTTATGCAGCGATTATATTTACTTATATGCAACAGCAGCTCCTGGCTTCAACAAAATGATTCCTTCGATCTTGGTCGTTGATAACTGGTTGGGGGTGTTTTTTCTCCTTCTTTTTCTTTAATTTTATTATTATTTTTTTTTTTACAAAAAAAAAGTAAAAAAAGAATAAAACAACAAAAAATAATAACTAAACAATAAACTGCACTAAATTGGAAACAACATGTGTGTTTTTAATGCGCCACTTTCGAGAACGACGACGACGACGACGATTACCCATCGTCACCGACACTGTAGTACTTTTGGTGATGCACAAGTTTCGACACTCGCGTGCGAGCCATCTTCCATCGAGTGGACTCTCGGATATCTCGCTTTTACGTTTTATCAATATTTTCTGCTTTCGCGCATCATCCGTCGAGTCACTGTACGTGTGTGTGTGTGCGAGCGGACTGCACGAGAGCAGCAGCAGTAGCAGCAGCAACTGAGGGATGAACAAACTCCCGAATGCTGCTATACACACGTATATGATATATTACACACATACACTCGCGCACTCGTCGTACATGTATCACTTGCGCACTTGTAACGTGTATAGGAAAGCAGCTGACGAGGGAAAATGTGGCTCAATGAAAACGACGAAGCGTTTTCTGTATGCGCTTACACGACTGTTCTGTGTCGGCTCGGGCGACGTCACCTTTCGAGGCGCCCGCCGCGCATGTACTGAAGCGGACCGTGGGCGAGTGTATAAACTTATACACACACTCGACTGCTGCTGCTGCTGCTTGGCTGCCAGTGCCTCGCTATAGCTCGGCCTGCCTGAGCGTGCGCGCGCGTTTGCTCGTTCAACGAATTGTGTATTTTCAAACGCTTGCGGAGAGAGAGAGAGAGAATACAGGGAGAAAGAGAAATGGATGATTGTGAAGAAAAGAGAAGGGGCAACGGACGAAGAGCGGGTAGGGACGTTTACACACACCACTGCTGCACGACTGCACGCTCCGCAAGAAGCGAGAAAGCAAACTTCGTAACTCGCGAGATTCGAGTCCGTCCGCGTGTTTTTCTTTGGGGCCTAATGCCGTCATCGTTATCATTATCATTGGCCGAGGCTCGCGGAGAGCAGAGTGCGGCAGGTGTCTTTGTGTATCCATGCCATACTTGTAACGTCCTTACCTATTGTACGGAGTCATGTTTTCCGTTTGATTTTCTATTCATCCGTGTGTATACCTACTACCTGCTACATGATCTCTCATATCCGTGTTTGAGAGAAATTGACGCAGCGATTATAACGTCGAGCCGGTTCGCCATCGAATACCGATTCATACGATACCTTCGTAAGTCAATAGAGTTTCCCGATTGGTATATATACTAGTAATTACGAAACTATAGCCACATCGGACACTGATACGAGCCTGATGTTAAATACAAACACAGCAGCTGCTGTCAGCGTAACGCCGAGATTTTTCACTTATATTTACGATGCCGTATAATACGCGTTGCTATTATACAGGTTGCGCGCCAGTCATTATACGGATGGATGATATATTTAATTCGATTCGCTCGGCGCGATAACATGAACGACATTTCACGGAAAATCTCGAGCTGCAACGGGAGAGCCGCGGCCTAGTCATGTCTGTTGGAATTCCCTTGTTACGTTGCTATGCCATTCTTTACACTCGCTGCTCTGGCGCCGCATCGTTCGCGTTCACGTTTTCTCTCTAATCTGGCGTCTTATCCATATAAATATTTATAGCGACGTTAGTGCAGAAAAATAAACGATTCCATCAGGTTGAGAGCATTTTCATCGCGCTATACCCAAAGTCCGTAATCCGCATCCACGCCAGCTACTTTGGCCGCTATCAGTAGTGCCTTTTTTTTCATCTTATTAGCTGCAGCTATAATAAACAACGAGAACGACTCGCTGGCGAGAGGCTGACAACGGCTACGCGATGATGCGATCAGTTTTATTTTTCATTCCAAGCGCGTAGCGATACTTAGTCATCCACCTGTTCTTATATCCTTTTATAAGCGTGTAATCATCGAGCGATAAACAGTTTTGAATGCACGCGGCCAACCTCGGCTAGGCATCGCGTAGAGAGCGCGGCGCATTCGTCGAGTTTTTTTGTAGCTTTCGATCGATGAGCCTTTATAGCCGTGTCTCGGTGCCTCTGTTTACACGCGTTAGCGCACCGATACCTAAATACCTCGCTCATAAGGTGGACAACGAGTTTATAAATAAATTTAGAGAGACAAGTTGACCGTGTGTTAGCGCGCCTTCGTACGTGAGAGCTTCGCGCTATTACGAAACTTGACAGTGCACGCGCGCGCCTCTCCACGCTTTGGATACGTTTAAACATTTTCTTTGCACCTTTTACAACTATTTATTGCTTGGATGCTGTTTATACAAAAAGAAACACGTGTTCTCTGAGAAAATGATTTTTTTTCTTCCTTAACGACTAATCGCAAAGCGTCATCGCCTACACCGCGAAAATGATTACTTTTTTCTATTGATTTCCGATTACTGAAAATAAACACTGTATCGCGAAAAAGAAATGACGTCGCAACTTTGAGATAAAGCAGAAACTCTTACGTTTTTTCCGTTCTCTAAATTACTATTTTGACTCCGACTGAGCACACAAATTATTAATTAACTCGACTTTAAGATATTCCCCTCAAGAAAGTCCAGCTGTGAATTAAGTGCTTAAGACACGCAAGCGTTTCTTTGAACTTGCAAGCGAGCGGCAAATTAATTAAAGGGTTTCAAGCTGCAGTGGCGCCACTCCTTCCTATACTGAGCATTAGCAACCAGTCGATGTCTGCCTTACCATTTACTCATTTACTGCGGCTACGTTAAAATATAACAACATTTTTATACTATTGTCGAAAATCATGTTTAAAATAAATCAACATACTAAATACACGTGTTCCCGATAATTCTGCGCTACTTTTCGTATATATATCAGATACATTGTTAACACGTTTTCCCAACAGGTATGCGTTACTGAATCGGTAAAAGCGAATGACTCTACACTTTCGTAAAGTAGGTACAGGTGGCAGTAGTGCTTTATTTTACACGTCTATTTACGCGTATGTATTCTGGCAATTAATACAAAATTCACGCAACAGTGTTATTGCCCTTGCAAAAATTTCTTACAGGATCCCGCAAAATTCCTACAGGAGTCCTATAGGATTCCAGTAGTGAGTGATTCACAATGAAATATAAGAAAGAGATGTTAAAAATTGATCATGTTAATTTGACAAGATTTGAATGGAAGAAAATTAAAAGATATGCGTAGATTTGGTATATTTCAATGTATAAAAAATGTCAGAGTTGAAAAATTATGTAATACCCTGATAATCCCGACAAAGATGCTTACGTTTTTTGTTTTGATAATGACTCTTTGTTCATTAATTCGCATCCCATTTTGATTCAATTGCGTTGTCAGATAAATATATAATATTTCCGTTCATGCTTTGTCTTCGCATAAAAACGAAAATTCATTCTGCCAAATAAAGCAAAAACTTGAACTGCGGGAAACATTTTTTCCCATGCTTTTCTGTAAACGTAATCTTGTTTCTCATCGGATTTTCTGGTGTTATTTGCCCCTAAATGCGTTTTCTCTTGTATTTATGGTGTGACATTCATAATGTAGTGGGAGATATAATCATATTTGAGCCAAGTAAAGGCTTATTTAATGAAAAGTGTTTTAGATATCGGAACTGAAAATAAATTGTTAAATTATTAAAAAATATTTTTCTTGGATGAATAAGATCAAGCATTTCAAATATAGCAAGGGTGAAAAAAAGTTAAAGATTATTAACAGTTAGCAGAAACCAGGCGACGATGACCTACTTTCGTCATATTTTTTTTCAATTTCCATTTTTTTCTTCGATCTCATCTAATATCACATCTACAGGAAGGAAAGAATTTAAAAATCATTGTATGAAGTTCGTAAGATTCCTGAAAACAACTAGAAATTCGTAATTCTTGCAAACAGAAACGTTTTATTAGTAAAAAACTGTAATATAATGAGTTTCGTAGGCTGCGTACAAGATTGACAAGTCTAGTAATATTTTACCACGACTTTATTACTTCCGGTGGCAACGATAAAATTTATTTTTACTATTTTAGATATTAGTATTGTAGATCGATGTCTTCGATCGTTGAAAAAGTAATAAAATGTTATGCTCATTCTACTTGATCACTCATATTTGACGAATAAGTCATTACTGTGCTCTAGATAAATTATTACGTACATAAATCAAAGCATAAAGTTATATCAAGAATTAGATGACACGGGCGAAAAGAGCTTAATTATTGAAGCATATAAGGTATACTCAGCTTTGATAAGCTTTAAAATCCAAAAATTAATTTGTCAATTTTTAAGTTTTCGAATTGTTCTTGGTATACATTAGGCCATCATTTTTACATCATATACGTCGAAAATAGGTCACACTTGATTTATCAAGAAATTCAATCACGCATAATAAAGAATTTTTAATGTAGTTTTCTATTTTTTTAAAGCTCGCCATTAATATAATTATAAGTTTGAATTTTAGTCGAATGATTTCGTCCTGTTAAAGCCCTAAACTCATTATGCACGTGCAGTCATCCAATGGCTTTGCTAAAATATCCATAAATCTAATTTTCTCAAGTAATAATTTTCTCTAATGCAATAACCTAGCAGAGTGTCAATGATATTAACTTTGAAAGTCTCAAAGCTTGATCGATAAGTTCTTTTTCTATGTGCAGTACAAGCGCTCCGTGCAAAAAACATCAGCTGGACTCGTCACTTGATTTATCATCGCCTATATACAAAACTTACCTTACATAAGGACTCCTGTTGTCCATTATTTGAGCAATTTTTCTTTCTTTCACTGTAACATAAGTGAAAATGCTTTTCGAGATTTTCTTGGGCAAGTCGTAATAAAAACATATTTTTCGTTTAATGTAATATATCATTTTCTCCCCAGCAACTTTAGCTGTACATGTTTTTACCCTCTTGTATTTTTCTTTCATTTCATCAATTATATTTTCTCATTGACTTTTTCGCTTACAATGTGTCTATCACTCATTAATAGTCAAAAAGAGTAATTAATTCACCCTGGAAGCAGTTGATGACAACTCAAAATGAATTGCAATAAATAATCAGATCTTGTTCAATATAATGTACTTTTTACATTTGAATCCAAGGTCAGATTTGATGTATTAAGCTTATCATACGTGCAATGTGACTTTTTTTTGGGTTTAGGTATCTAATACTATATGTTTTGGTGTTTTGAACAATGCGGCGCCAATAAATATGAACTGGTATGACGGTGGCTATAGCCTCTCAGTGGTTAGAGTAAAAGATATTCAAGTTTTGTCTAAGATAATCTTAAGGGGACCTCCCTCCTCCCAATTAAAAAGAAAAAATATTTTTTCAAAGATTTATTTGTAATAGAATAAAACGACATATTTTAATGAAACTTTTCATACATACTTTATTGACCTTCCCCATTGAGGTCCCCTTAATATAAACGAATGAACTCTGTTTCCAATGTCATTAAGAAACAAAAATTTGAATAAAATAAATAAATAAAATAATAGAATGTACCTTTTGATCTAGTTTTATGAGTCAACGTTATAAAAAATGTTTTACTTTGCCCCTTTTTTTTGTACACAAAGTAATGCTCGGATATTTCAGAGCTAGATAAGCAATTGAAAATGTTTCTAGCTTGTAAGGTACTTGAGTAGAATCGCGAACACAAAAAAGCGAGCCGAGAAAAGAGCTCGAGCTGTGACACATTGGATCCAATAACGAA